GGGAATATGGAAGGGGATTTGGGGTGGGCAAAGAGAGAAGGGTTTTCAGGAACAACTATAAAAAATACATGGACAAAGCCAAGGGGATGTGGAAGCAGGGGAGGGAGGTAGGAATGGCTGTGGTGGTGGGTTTTAAATGCAGACAACAGTATTAGAACAACAAAAAATAATTTTAAAAATTAAAAGGAAGAAAATGCTCCATGTTCATTTGAAAAGAATGTGTACTTTGCTCCTTTGGATGAAAGCCCTATGAGTGAAGTTCATTTGATGCAGGACTTTGTTCAATGCCACAATATCTTCGTTGATATATGATTTGGGAAATCTATTCATTTTTGACATTCAGTGTTAAATTTCCCTACTATAATTATGTTGATGTCAATATCTTCCTTGAAGCCCTTGAAGGTTTTTCTTATTTATTTAGGTGCTCCTATGTTAGATTCATATATGTTTATATGCTTACATCTTCTTAATGGATTGTTCCTTTGGGTATTATAAAGAATCCTTCTGGGCCTGTGTTACTGCCCTTGTTTTGAAGTCTATTTTGTTTAATATGAATATTGCTACCCTGGTTTTTCTTTCCTGTTCATTTGCTTGGAATATTTTTTTTCTAACCCTTCACTTTCAGTGTTTGTCAATCTTTTATTCTGAGATGGGTCTCTTACAGCAACAAATGTGTGGGTGATGTTTTCTTATCCATTCAGCTACTGTATGGCTTTTGATTGGGGCAATTATCCATTAACATTTAAGGTTATTATTGATAGGTATTTGTTCATTTTCCCACCTTTGTACCTGTGTTCCTTTCACTTTCACTCCTTTTTTTATTCTTTCTTATAACAGCTCCTTTAGTAAATTTGTAGGTCTGGTTTGGTAGATATGTTTTCCTTCAGCCTCTTTTGTCAGAGAAAATACATATTTCACCTTCCACTTTAATTGGGAGCCTCACTATATAGAATAATCTTGGTTGTAGACCTTTTTTTCTTTTTTAAAAATGATTTTATTTAGTTATTTTTTTATTTTAATAAATTTTATTTAGTTATTTTTCAAGTACAGTTTTTTTGTCTATTTCTCCCATCCCAGCCTCCCCCGCCTCTTGCTCCCCAACTCCCTCCCATTTCCACCCCCCTTAGTTCTCGTCCCTGTGTCCTTCCTATTTGTTCCTCCAAATCCCTCTACCTTTTCCCCCTTAACTTCCCTTCTCTCTTTCCTCTGGTCACTGTCTCCTTGTTCTCCATTTCAGTGTCTTTTTTTTTTCTGCTTGCTTGTTTATTTTGTTCTTTAGCTTTCTGTTAAAGGTGAGATCATATGGTATTGTCTTTCAACACCTGGCCTATTTCACTCAGCATAATGCTTTCCAGTTCCATCCATGTTGTTGCAAAGGGTAGTAGCTCCTTCTTTCTCTCTGCTGCATAGAATTCCATTGTGTATATGTACCACAATTTTTGGATCCATTCATTTACTGACAGGCACCTAGGTTGCTTCCAGCTCTTGGCTATTGTAAATTGTGCTGCTATGAACATGGGGTGCATAGGTTCTTTGATATTGATGTTTTAGGATTCTTGGGGTATAATACTAGCAGTGCAATTGCTGGGTCAAAAGGCAGGTCCATTTTTATTTTTCTGAGAAAATTCCATACTGTTTTCCATAATGGTTGTACCAGTCTGCAATCCCAACAACAGTGAACTAAGGTCCCCTTTTCCCCAAAAACTCTCCAACATTTGTTGTTTGTTGCTTTGTCTATTATAGCCATCCTGACTGGTGTAAAGTGGTATCTCATTGTGGTTTTAATTTGCATCTCTCTGATAGCTAACGATATTGAGCATCTCTTCATGTGTCTCTGAATGTTCTGTATGTCCTCCTTGGAGAAGTGTTTGTTTAAGTCCTTTCCCCATTTTCTAATTGGGTTGGGTGTCTTCTTAGAGTGGAGTCGTGTAAGTTCTTTGTATATTTTGGAGATTAAACCTTTGTCTGAGGTATCATTGGCAAATATGTTTTCCCATACAGTTGGTTGTCTTGCTAATTTAATACTGTTTTCTTTAGCCATGCAGAAGCTTTTAATTTTGATGAGATCCCATTTGTTTATTCTTCCCTTTACATTCCTTGCTCTAGGGGACATATCAGTAAAGAAGTTGCTGCGTGGAATATCTGAGATTTTCTTGCCAATGTTCTCCTCTAGGACTTTAATGGTGTCCCAACTTACATTTAAATCTTTTATCCACCTTGAATTTATTTTGGTGTATGGTGTAAGTCTGTGCTCAAGTTTCATTTTTTTGCATGTAGCTATCCAGTTCTCCCAACACCATTTGTTGAAGAGGCTATCTTTACTCCATTTTATGTTACTGACCCCTTTGTCGAATATTAATTGACTGTAGAGAGTTGGGTTGATTTCTGGGCTCTCTATTCTGTTCCATTGGTCTATGTGCCTGTTTTTATGCCAGTACCAGGCTGTTTTGATTAGAGTGGCCTTGTAATACAGTTTGATATCAGGTATTGTGATCCCTCCTACTTTGTTCTTCTTTCTCAAAAGAGCAGCTGCTATTTAGGCTCGTTTATGGTTCCATATAAATTTTCGAAGTGTTTGTTCTATGTCTGTGGAATATGCCATTAGTACTTTAATAGGTATTGCATTGAATCTGTATATTGCTTTGGGTAGTATGGACATTTTGATATGTTAATTGTTCCAATCCAAGAACAAGGTATGTTTCCATTTGTTTGTGTTTTCCTTGATTTTGTTCTTCAGGGCTGTGTAGTTTTCTGCATACAGATTTTTACCTCCTTAGTTAGGTATATTCCCAGATTTTTTTTTCTTTTTGCTATATCAAATGAGATTTTTTCCTTGATTCCTGCTTCTGCTGATTCATTGTTGGTATACAAAAATGCCTTTGATTTCTAGATATTGACTTTGTAACCAGGTATTGTTGCAAATTCATTAATTAGTTTGAGCAGTTTTTGGGTAGAGTCTATAGGATTTTTCATGTACACAAATCATGTCATCTGCAAACAGTGACAGTTTTGCTTCCTCCTTTTCTATTTGGATGCATTTTATTTCCTTTTCCTGCCTGATCATTGTGGCTAAAACTTCCAATACTATATGGAATAGAAGTGGTGAAAGTGGACATCCTCGTCTTGTTCCTGATCTAAGTGGAAAAGCTTTTAGTTTTTTCCCATTGAATATGATATTGGCTGTAGGTCTCTCATATATGGCCTTTATTATTTTGAGAAATGCTCCCTGTATTCCCACTTTGCTGAGTGTTTTTATCATAAATATGTGTTGTACCTTATCCAAAGCTTTTTCTGTATCTATTGATATGACCATGTGATTTTTGTCTTTGCTTTTGTTTATGTGATGTATTACATTTATCGATTTGCGAATTATGAACCATCCTTGCATCCCTGGGATGAATCCCACTTGGTCATGGTGTATAATCTTTTAGATATATTGTTGGATGCGATTTGCCAATATTTTGTTGAGGATTTTAGCATCTATGTTCATCAGCTAGACTGGCCTGAAGTTTTCTTTCTTTGTTGTGTCTCTATCTGGTTTTGGAACTAGGATGATGCTGGCTTCATAAAAAGAATTTGGGAGTTTTCCATCCTTCTGGGTTTTTTGGAATAGTCTATGGAGAATAGGGGTTAGCTCTTCCTTAAATGCTTTGTAGAATTCTCCTGTGAAACCATCTGGTCCAGGGCTTTTGTGTGATGGGAGTTTTTTGATTACTGCTTCAATTTCTTTTGCTGTTATTTGTGTATTTAGATTTTCTGCTTCTTTTTCACTGAGTTTTGGAAGATTATATTTTTCTAGAAATGTGTTTATTTCCTCTAGGTTTTCAAATTTCTTGGCATACAGTTCTTCATAGTAATTTCTTACAATCCCTTCTATTTCTGTGGTATCATTTGTAATCTCTCCTCTTTCATTTCTGATTGTGTTTATTTGTGTCCTCTCTCTTCTTTTCTTGATGAGCCTACTTAAAGGCTTGTCTATTTTGTTTATCTTCTCAAAGAAACAACTCCTGAATTCATTGATTCTTAAAATTGTGCTTTTAGTTTCCATGGCATTTAATTCTGCTCTAATCTTGGTTATTTCCTTCCTTTTTCTTGCTCTGGGCTTTCTTTGTTGTTGTTCCTTAAGTTCTTGCAGGTGTAGGGTTAGGTTGCTTTTTTGAAATGTTTCTATCTTCTTTACGTAGGCCTTTATTTAATCCATTTACGTTTAAGGGTATTATTGATAGGTACTTATTTATTGCCAGTTTTGTACCTGCATTCCCTCTGTCTGCCTCTTATCCTTCCTTCCCGTAAAGCAGTCATTTTAGTATTTCTTGTAGAACTAGTTTGGTGGAGGCATATTCTTTTAGGCTTCTTTTGTTTTGGAAGCTCTTTATTTGGCCATCTATTTTGATTGAGAGCCTTGCTGGGTAAAGTAGCCTGGTTGTAGGCCTCTGGTTCTCATTACTTGGAATATTTCTTGCCATTCTCTGCTTGCTTGAAGTGTTTCCATTGAGAAGTCAGTAGCTAACCTTCTTTGGGCTTCTTTGTATATTACTTCTTTTTTCTCCCTTGCTGCCTTTAAGATTCTCTCTTTGTCTTGGAATTTTGCCATTTTGTTGATGATTTGTCTTGAAGTGGGCCTCCTTGGCTTCCTCTTGATTGGGACTCTCTGTGATTCCTGGATTTGTGAGACTTTTTCTCCTATCAAATTAGGGAAATTTTCTCTCATTACTCATTCAAATATGTTTTCTATCCCTTGTTCTTCTTCTCCTTCTGGTTTTCGTATTATTCGAATATTATTACGTTTCATATTGTCTTGCATTTCTCTTAATCCCACTTCATTCTTTCTGAGCCTCTTTTCATTTTCTTTCTCTTTCTGTGAGATGCTTTCTACCTTGTCCTCCAACTCACTAATCCTATCCTCCACTTCATCTATCCTACTTTGGAAACTTTCTACTGTTTTCTTCTATTAGGGAATTGTATTCTTCATTTCCTCTTGTCCCTTGCTGATAGTTTCCAAAAATATGGAACGCTTCACCAATTTGCGTGTCATCCTTTCGCAGGGGCCATGCTAATCTTCTCTGTATCATTCCAATTTTAGTATATGTTCTGTGGAAGCGAGCACTCAGTCTTTTTTTTTATTTATTAGTTTGTATATCTCTTGCCATTCTTTTCTTGATTGGAGTGTTTCTGTTGAGAAATCAGCTGCTAGCATTATTGGAACACTTTGCATGTTACTTTTTATTTCTCCCTTTCTGCTTTTAAAGTACTCTCTTTGTCTCTAATACTTGGCATTTTAATTTTGATATGTCTTGGATTTTGCCTCTTTGGGCTCATGTTGTTTGAGACTCTGTGATTCCTGAACTTGCAAGTTTTTTTCTCTCTCCAGGTTCTGAAATGTTTCTGTCATTATTTTTTCAAACAGGGTTTCTATTTCTTGTCCCTTTTCTTCCCCTTCTGATATACCTATTATTCAATTGTTATTGCCTTTCATGTTATGTTAGAGTTACCTTAAGCTATCTTCATTTTTTTTTTACTTTTTTTTGTGCAGATGCTCTACCTGTGTGTTGTCTTCTACTTTGTCTTCCTGCTCACTAATTTGGTCCTCTGCTTCATAGAGGACCAAATTAGTAATTCCTTGTTTGTAATTTCCTCTAATATATTTTTTAGTTCCAAAATTTTATTGTTCATTTCTTTCTGGTTTTGTTTATAGTTTCTGTTTTCTTTTTCATACTGTTGTAGTTCTCACTCAGTTCCTTGTCATTGTCTGTGTTTCTTGAGCATCTTTATGACCATTATTTTGAATTCTATGCTTAATAGTTTGTTTGCCTCCATTTTATTTAGCTCTTTTAGTGGGTAGTCTTCCATTCCTTTCGATTGCAGTTTCTATTTTTGTCTCCGTATTTTAGGTGACTCTGCTTTCTTTTTCTGCACTTTCTGATATTTCACTTTGCTAACTGTCTTTGTAGAGGGAATTTCTATGGTAGGAATTCTATGGGATTCAATGGTGTGATCTCTTTGATCTCCATGTCTATATGCTCTATGTTTGCCCTTTGTTCTGTTTGTGTGGGCTCTCTTGTTGTACTTAGGTTTTTCCCTATTGGTGATTCCTTTGTTTGTGGCTTCTATCCTCCAGCAGGTATACTGATGATTGCAGCTCCCACTTATTCTTATATGTGATCAGTGGCAGGGGTTAGGTAAAATAGATTAAAACAGTGGGAGAGCATTCTATGGGACCTAAAGTACCAACAAGTAGAGAAGAGATAGGAGATCCTTTGGATAAGTACAACATTAACCATGATATTTCACTCAACTAGCCAGTTTTTATAAAAGGTGAAAGAGAGAGAAGGCTGTTGTTAGAGGGGAGGGAGATTGCAAGCTGAATTCAGGAAACAGAGCACTTGTGCAAGTGCATAGATATTGAGATATAGTGAGTTTAAAGGAAAAAAGTAGGCATAGTGTGAGAGTGAATAGAGATGACTAGAGCAATAATCATGCTCAGGAATAAAGTGAAATCAGGGCTAAGATCAGGGAGGGGTACTGTGTAGTATTTAAAATGGTATGGCACAACAGTTATTTACAATAGTACTGGAAAAACAATATTACAAGAAATATACGATTTAAATAACAAGAATAGAAAGTACACAAGTGTTATTGGAACATGATTGAAGTGAAAGAAGGAAAGTTAAAATACAATGTGAAAGAGAGAATAAGGAAAACCATTCAAATAATGTAAGTAAACAGAAATAAAAGGGATAAAAGTAAACAGAAAGAAGATAAATAAAACAATACTAATAAAATAAAAAAGTAAAAATAGTGAAAAATAATAATAGTACAAATAAAGAATAACATGCCAGTTCTATCGGATAGCAAAGTGAAATGTGTCTCAGTTTCTCAGTTTTTGAGGTTAGCCTTGTTTTCCCCATTTGGATCTATCTGTGTACCTTTCACAATTTCGTGTCTTATCATCTCACTTGGGGCAAGAAAAAAGAAAAAGATAAAAAAAGAGAGAGAAAGAAAAGAAGAAAAATTAGCCAACTGCTGACTTGAAAACAGTTGAGTAAGTTCTGCTGGTCTTCCTAGATGCCGCAGAAGAGGGATCTGGGCTTCACTTTTCTCCCTTCTTAAGGTGTTGTGAAGATGGGGGCCAGGTCTGAGCTGAAAGATTCACAGTTGCTCAGCCTCCAGCCCAGGTCCTCCATGAGCTGCTGGGACCCCCAGGTCCATCCGCACCAACCCTGCTCCTTTAATCTACCAGTTGCACCAAGGTCCATGTGATATGCCTCCTCTTTGCTCTTTTCGAGCTCATCATGGCCTGAGCCCACTGCTGGGCAAGCAGCACCAGTCAGCATCTTAGTGAGCAGTGTGAGTCAAGCTCAGGTGCATGGGTAAAATCTACCTCATGGCTAGTGGCACCTTTAGTAGCCAGAATCAGCTGCAGGGCAAGCTGCACCAGTCAGCCTCCAGGTGAGTGGATTGACTCACCTGCCAGGCTTGCAGCCTGCGTCAGGTGCAGGCAAGCAGGTTGAATCAGCCTCAGGGTGAGCAGGGCAAATTAGCTGCCTGGCAAACTCTCAAGAGTCAATCACAGGCATTCCACTGAAATCTACTGTTGGGACACTGCCCTGGCTAAGTGCAGGCTTGCAGCTCAAATCACATTCTGGGCAAGTCAGGCACAAGAAGTGAGAGTTCCTGACAAAGCAGCTTCAGCCTTCCTCCCTCCCTCTCTTTCTATATTTTCCTTCCTTCCTCTTTTCCTTTTCTTTCTTTTCTCTTCTCCTTTTTTCTTTTCTTTTCTCTTTTCTTTAGTAGAAGCGTCTTCTTTAAGCCCACAATTCTTAACACATGCCTGGCTTTTCAAACAGCTCAACTTTCTACCCAGACTGGAGAATATCTAGATCAGGGTCCCACATGGCCCAACTCTTCTCCCTTCTCCATGTGTCTTCTGGCTCCCCAGTTTGTCTGTTCATAACCTAGCCAGTGTTGTCCACAGTCCCAGCAGGTGTACACCACCTCTGTGTGACTCATACTTCATCTCTATTCCCCCCAGCAACTTCAAGTGTCCAGGTCCCTCTTAGTGCTGGGCTGCCCCTTCCTGCTCTGCTAGGGGAAGGAGCTGGTGATCTAACTGTCCTCCCAGTATCCTGTGGAAGGCACTGGGAAGGAGGTCACAACAGCCTACATCCCTGCTCAGATCCCAGGGACCTAGGTATCCCAACACAAACTCTTCACCATCTGTTTTTCAATATTCTCTACAATTTTTGGCCTCCAAACTTTATGTAAACTGGGATTCTGTTGGCTTTTCACTCTGTTCTCAGAAGATCAGCTAGGTGTTATGGCTGGACACAGGAGGAACTGGGCTCTGCTCCCACCTACTTCGCCATGATTTTCCATCTCCTTATACTGTTTATTTTTGCATATGGTGTAAGTTGGTGGTATGGTTTCATTTTTTGCATGTACCACTCCAAATATCCCATCATTTGTTGAAATGGCTATATTTACTTTATTTTATGCTTCTGCTCCCTTTATCAAGTATTAATTGAACATAAAGACTTGGATGTATATCTGGAATCTCTATTCTGTTCCATTGATCTATGTGTCTGTTTTTATGCCAGTACCAGACTGTTTTGATTCCAGTGGCTTTGTAATATAGTTTGATGTCAGGTATTGTGATCTCTCCAACTTTATTCTTTTTTTCTCAAAGTTGCTGAGGCTATTTGGGGTCATTTATGGCTCCATATAAATTTTTGAAATGTTTGTTCTATATCTGTGAAATATATCATTGGTATTTTAATAGAGATTATGTTGAATCTATAAATTGCTTTGGGCAATATGGACATTTTGATGATGTTAACTATTCCAATCCATGAACACAGTATATGCCTCCATTTGTTTGTGAATTCCTTGATTTATTTCTTCAGCGCTTTGTAGTTTTCTGAGTACAGGTCTTTTACCTCCTCAGTTAGGTTTATTCCTAGGTAATTGTTTTCCTTGTTGCTATATGAAATGGGATTTTTTCTGATTTCTGTTTCTGATATTTCATTGTTGCCTTCAATATTGACTTTGTATCCCACTGTTTTGCCAAAGTCACTTATTAGTTCAATAAGTTTTTTGGTTTTTGTAGACTATCTTGTCATCTGTAAAGAATGACAGTTTTTCCTCCTTCTTGTCAACTTGAATTCTTTTCTTTTCTTTTTTTTTGTTTGTTTGATTACTGTGGCTAGAACTTCCAATACTATGGTGGAGGGAAGTGGTGAAAATGGACAGCCTTGTCTTGTTCCTTGTCTTAGTGGCAAAGCTTTGAGTTTTTGCCCTCTGAGTATGAGTTTGGCTGTAGGTTTCTTATATATGGACTTTATTATGTTGAGTTGTGTTTATTCTACTCCTACTTTACTGTGTGTGTTTTATAATACATGAGTGTTGTACCTTACCAAATGCTTTTTTGCATCTATTGATATGGTCATGTGATTTTTTTTCTTCCTTGTGTTTATCTGATGTATTATGTTTATTCATTTGTGAATATTGTACCATTCTTGCATCCCTTGGATGAAACCCACTTGATTATGGTGTATGAAATTTTTAATGTACTGCTAGATACAGTTTGCCAATATTTTGTTTAGGATTTTAGCATCTATGTTCATCAGCTCTTTCACAGGTTCTGATTGCTAATAAGAGTTTGCATCTAAAACTCTGTTTTATTATTTGATTTTAGTCACTCACCTTGCTTCATATGCTATTCTACATGGGAGGAGGAATTCAGTATTCCTGAATCTTGACACCCCAAATAGTGATTCTTACTTAGGTTGTAACAGTGAAAGCCCATATTTAGGAATATCAGTTTCCACAAGGGAGTGTTAATCCTCATCACTCATCAGCATCACAGTTAGAAATGGTGGCAAATGTTCACAGAAGAGACAGACTATCCTGGTAGGCAAGAAAAGATGAGATCAACATGCATCAGACGGCCAGAGCTTCATACATGTATAGGATTGACTAAAACAAGCCTAATGCTAATTGGAGTTCTAATCCTCTAACCCATGGTTATTTTTACCTCTCCAACATGTCTCCATAACCACTCTCTTTTGCTGAGAATGAACATTCAGTCACACGTGTATCAGACATTTC